ATTAAGATTTTATTAAATAGACTTATTTCAATATTACCCTTTCTCTCTCTATTTAATACTAATTAAGTATAAATTTAATGTTATTAAATGAAGAGTATATTTAAAAGTTTGTATTTTTATTTTAAAAAAATAATATGTTAAGTGTATTTAATAAATTTTATTAATATATAAAATTTTATTTAAAAATATTTTATAATTTAATATAAATGGAGTATGAGATACCTTTTAAAAGGATGTTTTGCTCATTAATGCTTAATACATGTAGTAGGGCATTAGTTATATATTTTTTTATATTACCCGTCATTGATTCCTGGGAGGTTGTTAGAAGTGTACTGTACCGAGAACAAGATAGAGCATAATAATAGCCAAGGTACTGAAAATCGGATCGGTCATTGAACCGGCCAAACTCAGGGGTCAGGGGTCATGGGTTCAACCAGAGGTCAAACCGGAGTCAGACCGGTCATAATAAAATAATATAATTTAAATAAAAATATATTAATTCTCAATACGTTCATACATATCCAAGTCTTAATATCTCATATAACATATAACAATAATTCTAACAATAATAAAGTATAACAACATTTCTATATTTTTTTAAAATAAGGTTAACTAAATGATAAAAAAATTTCAATGAGTTAAAATAATAGAAATAAAAATTTATTTCAAAATAAAAGATAATAAATGAAAGTGATATATTTTAAAAATTATTTAATTAAATAATTCAAATTAAAAAAATATAATATAATATATATTTATACTTTTTGATTTCTTTTTACTTCTTTCATCCCCTTATCTGACATAAGTATATTTTTTTTACCCCATGACTCATATTGATCTATCATTAATCATTATCATGTTAAAAATAAATATATATCTTAATTAATCATTATTAATTTTTTTTTTAAATTTCAACCCGCCCAACCCGCCTGAACCGAGGGGTTGGGCGGGTTAATCCGGGTTAATCCCGGGTCACCCGGGTTAACTGAAAACAAAATAAAAAGAAAACCGGACCGGACACATGGCCGGGTCACCGGTTCACCGGTCGGACCGGCCGGTCCGGTCCGGTTTTAAAAACAATGATAATAGCAGACCACTGAAGTTAATGATGATTGGCTTATGAACCTAACAACTTAAGTAATGGCATGACCACTGTATCATCGCTTTCTCATTTATTTCTCCCATCGTATTTATAAATTACTTTTAATATTTTTCATAAAAAATTTTAAAATTTATTAACTCTAATCTATCTAAAAATTTAATAATTTTTTAATTTTATCTTTATTAAACATACATATTTTAACAATATATCTCTCAAATATTTAATGGAGGTAAATGTAAAAATTTATGATAAAAATGTGATGAAATGACTTGTAAATAAAAAAAAATATCTTGTCTCTATCTTATAAATAGGACGAGGAGGAGTAGTTCATACTTTTTTTAAAAAAAAAAAGAAAAATTCTTTTTTCCCGTTTTCTTCGTTCATTTTATTTTGGGTTCAGACTGAATATGATAAACAAAACAACGATCATATCAATAAATATGCAGGAACAAATAAATCAAATAATCAATAAATACACCACCAACACTCTTATCTAGTGGCGAAGCCACATTCATCTTAGGGTGGGCAGATTGGCCCTGGATTTGAAGCCAAATAAATCAATATGCTGACATGATTTTGACTTATATTTTGGCATGCACTTACTAGTTAACAGAGAGGAAAGCAAAGTGTGAGTAGGTGGTCACTTGAGATTCGGGGATGAAATAGGAAGACGGCAGTAAATACAAAATGCAAAAACTAAAGCTTAATTAATGTGTGTGTGTGTGTCTATATATATATATATATATATAAGTTTTTTCAAAACTGTGGTTTTAATCAAACATCAACAATAATATCATGTTATATTTGTATTTGCTCCATTTGTGATCTTAAATTTTGTTTGAGACCCATATTATTTTTTTCTTATTTTTTATATTTAATATAAAGTATAAAAAGTACATTCTTATGTTACACCTCAAGAATGCAAGAAACTTAGTTCAAGTCATAATCAAATAAATAATAATAATTATTTAAGTCTCTTGTACAAACAAATGGTTCTTTGAGTCATATGAATCAAATTTCTTACCATTTCAGATCAAAATATTTTTTACAGTATTAATTTAGAAATTAGCAGTATCAAAATATTCAGTTATTACTCAAACATATCATATAATTATAATATTTATTTATACATATCTTATAATTATAATAGTTAATTATTGGAGCGTTAAGGCTAATGTGATATTTTAATGGGGGGTTTTTTGTTTTGCCAACAATAAGGCTATTGAATCAGTCAATATATCGGTTCAATAGTTAATAATTAACAATATAGTCAAACTATAATCAAATCATCATAAATGAAGCTTTTTATTAAATTAATAAATATGTTGGTTTAATAGTTTATCAATTTGATTGAATGTGTTGACCTAGAGTAAAATATTATGCCTCCGATCCTATATATAAGGTAGAAAAAGAAAAAAAAATGATCCTATTTACATGGTATTTGCCAATTTCAAATGCTTCTCTTTACATTTTTATCTTTATTAAATATTTTAAATAAAAATATCAGTAATAAAATTTAAAAACATTTATTAAAAGTAAAGGTAAAAATTTTAATTTTAAGGTAAAATTAATGAGGTTTAAAGTTTTTTTTAATTTTAATAAAATATGTTAAATATAATTTATAAATAGAATTAGAGAGAATATGTGTGAGAAAAAGTGTCGAGTCTCGCCATAGATGTTGGGAAGCCTGAATGAAGCACATACTGGGCTAAGTCCCACCCCTAAAATAGTAGAGCCCAAAAGGAAATTAAGGCTTTTGAAATTATGTCATGCACGTGATGACTGGCAAGACACCATTTGTGAGTTGAGAGGAGGGTCTTTTCATTTTTTTCTCTCCATTTCTCTTCATATCTTCCATCTCAACCATTCATTAATTCTATAATTTTAAAAAAATTATTTAGTAAAATAATATAAATGGTTAAGATGGAAAAAGTGAAAGAAAAGAAATGGAGAGATTCCTCTCTTGTGAGGTGATAATGCTAAAGGTGATCGAGTTGGGAGAGGAACCACTCCATTTCTTTCCCCCCATTTCCCCCATTTCAACTATTCATGTTATTTTTAATATTAAAAAATTTATTTAATAAAATAATATGAATGATTGAGATGGAGGAAGTGAAGAAAAAGTAAATGAAGAGAAGGAGATGGAGAGACCCTTGATCTGGCTGAGCCAAAAGAGGTGTAGGATACGTGAATATATATCAACAAGGGTGATAGCCGTGAAATTAAAGTATGTAACGTTTTCAATTGTTTTTATGGTTCACACATGTATTTTTTTTATTAAAAACAATTATATTAATTTTAAACACGATCGCGCACTAGTTATAAATACTACACACTTTCACGTTCTAGACGCTTGATTTTACTGGGATGCCAGTTATAGATTATGTATACGCGTGTGCGTGCACTCAGTTAGCCTCTATGTATCTTATCAAAATAAACGATGTTATCATGATTGTTAGCCTTCAGGATTTAATTCAAGAAAAAAATAGAGGGGTGTGATTTACAATTAAGTCAAAATATAAGACCTATGAATTAATTTTTCGTATATATAATATATTTTTATCTGAATTTATCTACATGTCTATAAAAGTAGAATAATTAACAAGCATAGCTAAAATCATGATAGGTGTCTATTTTTTCCATTCCTGCAATTTTATGCAGCCATTCAAGTTTTAGTTTTCAGATTTAATTTTTTTTTAAAGACGTAGGTGCTAGTGGTGTATGCTTTCCTAAACGTGGGATGAGTAACCACTAATTGAATTATTGAAAGGCATGTTTCAAGTTCACCAAATATAATATAATTAAGTGACGTGGGGTGAAGTTATTTAGCTACATGCATAACCGGATTCCAACGCGATCGAGTTGCCGTTTATGCCTTAATGCACTCACTATAAATTCTAAGTTAGAAGCTGCTTTGGTCATATCGTATTATATTCCTCTGTTTGCGCCAATGTATAATATATAATATTTTTCTTCCCAGATATTCGATGGCAAAAGATAACAAATAAGTGCACGTGGTTCATGTTATTTACTTTCAAAATCAACAATGGTTAGTCTTTACATTTGATCTATCCCAATTGTTTTATTTAATTATCTTCAAAATCTAAAATCATGAGATGTGTGAGTGAGTGAGATACTCTTATTAGTTTTTACTTTATAGTTTTGTTGTTATCTTCCTTTAAAAATTAAAGTAATATTGCCCTTGCATTGTAAGACGACGCCATTTCATTCGCATATTAGAGTTGCCTCAAGCAAGAAAGGCAAATTCAAACATAAATTTAACTTATTTTTTAGGAGCATATTCTCTCACATACGTTTAATTCTCTTAAGTTTTAAAGCGTTATTTTTTATCTTCTAACATTATTTCAAATGATTACATATATGCCACTTCAATTGTTTGGCACATCAGACTCTCATCATCTTTAAACACAATCATTGTTTGAGATAAGAAATGATTCACACACACACACAATAACAAGCACATCTATGGATTGCAAATGTGTCCTTTTTTTTTCAAATATTTCAATTTTGTAAAGTCACATAAAATTCTATTTACAAAATTATTTCTAATTTGTTAATATAACTTTTTTTTAGTTTTTTTTATTTTGGTACGTAATTTCTCAATTTATGATCTAATAACTTCTTAACTCAATGATCTTTTTTTAATGTGATTAGTAATTTAAAGTAATGTAATTACTCCACCATATCTACATTTAATTATCTATATGTACATGGAATATTAAAACACACACACTCTCTCTCATGAACTAATATTATTTTATAAACATTTAGTACGGGTAGATGCTAGTTTTACGTAAAATAAAATATAGATGTATGCATGATATATATAGATTCTTCTCATCCTTAGCAGACGCGTCATAACTCCAAAAGCCTTTCATCTGTTGCCGAGCTCTTTCAGCTTCAGAAGAAGGCCATGGCTTCTCTGCAAAACGACGCTCATCAGCCATTGTTGCCTCCGAGGGATCCACAGCCACCTTCCTTGACTCCCCCCCTCAGCTACGATCACGATTCATCAAACGGCGAGCTCGAGATCATACTCTCCGACACCACCCTACCTCTATTCACGTGCTTTCGGGCCGCCACATCGATCGAGCTGAAGCTGCTATTCTTCCTTGGGGCCCCCGCCGTCATCGTGTATTTGATCAACTACGTCATGTCCATGTCCACCCAGATATTCTCGGGCCACCTCGGCAACCTCGAGCTCGCCGCCGCTTCCCTCGGCAACACTGGCATCCAAGTCTTTGCCTATGGCCTCCTGGTGGCTACCCCCTTCTCTCACTTGTTTAACGAAACATCAATTAACACTTGAAGATGAGCTACACTAACATGATTTACTACATGATGATTTGGAATTTATGATATTTGATGAACAGTTGGGCATGGGGAGTGCGGTGGAGACGCTGTGCGGGCAAGCATTTGGTGCGAACAAGTACGAAATGCTGGGAGTATACTTGCAGAGATCAACGATTCTGCTAACACTGACGGGGATTCTTCTGACCATCCTGTACGTATTCTCGGAACCTATTTTAATATTTCTGGGAGAATCTCCAAGAATTGCATCCGCAGCTGCACTGTTCGTGTACGGTCTGATTCCTCAAACCTTCGCGTATGCCGTCAACTTCCCAATCCAGAAGTTTCTGCAAGCTCAGAGCATAGTGGCCCCGAGTGCGTATATATCTCTGGGGACGCTGGTGATTCATCTGGTGTTAAGCTGGGTGTTCGTGTACGAGATCGGGCTTGGATTACTGGGAGCGTCGTTGGTTCTAAGCTTGTCGTGGTGGATCCTGGTGATAGGTCAGTTTGCGTATATTGTGAAGAGTGACAAGTGTAAGAAGACATGGCAGGGCTTCACGGTGCAGGCGTTCTCGGGGCTGCCGGAGTTCTTCAAGCTATCCGCGGCTTCGGCTGTCATGTTGAGTTTGGAGACGTGGTACTTTCAGATTCTGGTTCTGCTCGCTGGTTTGCTGGATCACCCTGAATTGGCTCTTGATTCTCTTTCCATTTGGTAAGAAATGATTTTATTGTTTTGTTATCATTAATTAATCACACCTTTTTCGTCAGTAAACAGTATTAATTGCACCTTTCATCAATGCGAGGAGGGGGGGACCAAATCTCAATGAATTTGATTTTTTTAAAAAAATACTCTAGATAAGTTATAAAATTTTTAAAAAAGAATATGTAAATTTAAAGAGTGCAGTAAAAAATTAATTAAGAATAATTTGATTCCACTACTCTATTTTTTTTTAATTAAATTTATTGATTAAAATTTGTGTTGTGTTTGCATATATATTGAAGGCATCTCTTTATTTTTGATAGAATAGAACACATCTGAGAATCTCACGAAAATGAATAGCTCGGGCAAAATAATTAGTTAGTTTGGTACCCACTAGTTATAAGATTTCTGTATCAGTATGACTGGGAAAGGTTTGACAAGCTAAAGATTCGTTCATGGTAAGTCATCGCACTCAGCACCGAGAGAGGGACTCACATGGTGCTATTATATAATTACAAATGGGATATACTTGTATATAGTGATCGTATTTGAATTGGAAAGCAAAATCTGACTTCGAGTATTGCCAATATAAAAAAGATAGACATGTCATAATGATTTTGTTAACTAGTGTCGTCTGGTCATCATTTTGTCGCCATATATAAATTACTCTACCTTTCAAATCACGGAAACAGTAATTCCTTCCCCCATGAGTTTGTCCTTTTACTCATTATTATTGAATAAACCTCTTTTAATTTTTAGACAGATTACATCTCTTTCCTTTTATATTATAAAAATTAAATATAATTAATTATTCATAGAGCATAAGCATATGTTAATATGTGATCCTACGAATTTGGATCCTCCCCCTTATGAAATATCTCTCTCCATGCAGCTCTTCGTGTCAAATCACATCCGCTCATTTACTTATTTATTTGATTTAATTTAACATAAGATTGCTAATTATTATATCAAAATAAATAGTTTGTTCATTATCATCATTTAAATACTTTTAAAAGTAAGATCTATCACAACATTTTTTATAATAGTCACTAAATAAATAGCACTCCTTCCGTCCTAAATTATAAGACGTTTTTAAATAAAATCTCACATATTAATAAATTTTATTAAATATATTTAATAATATTATCTTTTTAAAATAATAATATAAACTTTTAAAAATATCCATTATTTAATATATTAAAAAGAGAATGAATATAAATTAATTAAAAAGAGAAAAGGTAATATTAAAATTGATACATTTAATGAAAAGTTAATCTACTTAAAGTGTATTTTATTTTAAAACGGAGGAAGTATATTTGATTTTAATTTATTTTAATATCATAATTAACAATCTTACATTATCAAATTAAATGAATAATTAGACGGATTGAGCATTGATCCATGTATTATGAGAGGGCGCAGAGAGGATCCAAAAGCGTCACCCCACACATCAGTTTCATGTAAGGCATTGTAGAGATCCAATGCCTTTGGTATGTTGTCACTACGCAAGACTGAAGGAGAAGAACGCCGTTTTTCCGGCCGGCCATGGACTGACCCACCAAATTCATGATGCACGCCTATATATTTCGGATCCTTCAGAAACGTGGTCTCACTGCCACTCTTGATTTATTGTTATATTTTATCATTTAATTAATTAATTAATTATATATGCGCGCAGTACCACTATATCCGGATGGGTGTTCATGATCTCAGTAGGATTCAACGCAGCCGCAAGGTTAGTTTCTCTTCGCTCACCTACAAAATCCCACTATATCTGGAATATAATGCCTTTTTGGTTCTTGATCAATGCTTGCATGGAATTGAATATTTGAGCTGTGGGGTGGGCGGGGGCACAGTGTAAGAGTAAGCAATGAGCTAGGAGCCAGAAATCCAAAATCAGCAGCGTTCTCGGTGGTGGTGGTGACGTCGATATCTTTCATGATAGCTGTGATCGCAGCAATCACAGTGCTCGCTTTAAGGGATGTGATTAGTTATGCCTTCACAGATGGTGAGTTCGTCGCTGCTGCTGTTTCTGATCTCTGTCCTCTCCTGGCTCTTGCCATCGTCCTCAACGGCATTCAGCCCGTCTTATCTGGTAAACTACTTGACACTCCCAATTCCATTCTGATGCTAAAAGTTTAAAATTTTACACCGAAATATTATGGTACCCGTGCGAGCATCGATACTATTGTAATGTACCATGAACCATGAAGGGGTGGCTGTTGGGTGTGGATGGCAGAGTTTTGTTGCGTATGTGAACGCAGGCTGTTATTATGGAATTGGCATTCCCCTGGGCTCACTCCTCGGCTTCTACTTTAAACTTGGTGCTAAGGTTTGTTCTCTTCTCTTGTTTTTCACAACCCAGTAACATTATTAATGCAGAAAGCTCTGATTTTATTTGTTGTTTCTCCAGGGAATATGGTCGGGAATGCTCGGTGGAATGCTCATGCAAACAATTATTTTGATGTGGGTTACGCTTCGAACGGATTGGTATAAAGAGGTAAAACAACACTTTTTGTGTTGATCACTGCTCAGTGATCCAATGACGGATGAGCAAGCTTTTTGCCCCTTTGTTTTTAATTTTGCGCGAAAACAAGCTTTTTCTTTGTCTAATTAACAGGAATATATATATATATATATATATATATAATTGCAGGTTGAAGAAGCAGGCAAGAGGTTGAACAAGTGGGAAGACAAGAAGGAGTCATCACCTCTTGAGAAGTGAGAACACATGATTTCACTTTGATTTGACGACGTGGGTTGGTCAATGAAGCGGGACCATGTAATAGCTTGGCCTTTCCTTTTAGTGCTATTATATCTATCTCCTTTTCCGGCGCACCAAAAATGAAATACTACTTTGGGATCAACTAAAATAATGATGTACAACATTTTTCACTGTTTCACATCAGCCAAAAAGTTCAAATTCTATTTTCCTTTCTTTTTCCCCCTTTCATTCATTTTCCTAATTCACTGGTCCATTAAAATATTTCATCACGGGGCTCTGCTTTGAAGTTCATGAAAGTTCTTGTTTTGTTACTAAATAGATCTTGTTCATCACTCTTTATCTGGGTCTTCATGTCCTATACATGCTTGCTGGGCTGTTAAATGGCTTTTTATATAACGATGACATTTGGTTGGGAAAAATACCTGATGATAAGGGAGGGCTCCCCCTTCTCAAGACTTGTAATATTCGTTTGGCACACTTTCTTTGTTTCTGAACTGAATCATGCCCATTATCAACAAAATCCACAAGTAACGCATCTGGATGTCAGAAGCACAAAAATAGCCCCAATTCGATGGTCAAGCGCGAAAGCTATCATAAGTTTCTATTATTGCTGTCGGCAGCTTCCTCCTCAACTAAACCAAAAATCTTTTGCCTTTGAATTACTTTATAAATTTATAAACGACACTCTGAATGACCAACTAGCATGCCAGAAATTGAACAACATCATTTACAATGCATGCCGTCTGCCGTATGTAATAATAACTCTACAATGATTCAGATGCTTTAAGATCATGACTATCCATAAAAATAAAGGGATTCTGGCTAATCGATATGAATTTGATGCAACCGGCGTATTTAATTTTTTTAAATACTAGCCAATGAGGAAGTCTTGGAGACAAACACAAACAAGAAAGTGAAGCCTCTGTTTGCTACTTTTTCTTTCCTGCCTTTCCTTCCTTTCTTCTTACAACTTCATCAGCATATTTGATACCCTTGCCTTTGTATGGTTCTGGTGGTCTCCATCTCCTTACTGAAGCAGCAAATTGGCCAATCTCAGACTTGTCATATCCGCTCACTGTGATTCTCGTGTTATCTTCAACCTTCACCTTGAGGCCTTCGGGGATCGCCATCTTGACTGGATGAGAAAATCCAAGATTCAAAATCAAATCTTTTCCTTCTACTGCTGCACGATAACCAACACCAACCAGTTGGAGCTTCTTTTCAAAACCTTTAGATACTCCTACCAACATATTGTCTGTAAGGGTCCTAAATACATTATATTCCCAGCCAGACAAGTGTCAGATAGATGCAGATAAAGAATGTTGGAATTTAATCCGAGATAAACCTAAAAATTTGTGTGAGACTAAAAATGTGATGTAATGCTCGAGTCTGCAAACTTGGATTCCAATAATTTGCTCATACAAGAAAAATTTTACATGTTACACAATCAGATTAATACAACGGCATCATGTCGAACTAAGATATAGCAATGATTTAAACCACTAGCATCTCAAAATTTAAGAGAAAGTGACAGAACAGTGCACATCAGGAAAACAAAATAACCAATCTGAATTGAAACTAACGATTAGTTCAAAAGGCTCTCAAAGCTTCAGACATGACCCTGCTTTTAGGACAGACAATATGTCTCGAGTTTGGTCATGCAAAATAGACAACATCCAGGATTATGGTGACATTTATGGTGATGCCACCACCAGCTCAAGAAGTTGCAAAGAAATCAAAATTGTTGGCACACTTAATACACACACCATGAGAGAGAGGGGACCCTTGCAATGAAAGTATTCAGTGAACAATCCAACAACACATCTCCAATACAAGGTGTAACATTTCATCTTTTTTCCAACCGGAATTTGTTTTCAATGACCACCTTCTCCACTTATCTGATTGTCGAACTTGCATAAATGTAGATTAATTACTGTCATCTAGCACCAAAAGCCTTATCATCATGGGAAAGTAACACAAGTAAACTATTCACAGGTTTCAAATTTATATCTATCATGTGGCACAAACAATTTCAAAAATTTGAACCAAATGTCAGCCAAAATTTCATGTTCTAAGTTTAATGAGCGTGTCAAGAAAAGATTTTAGATTTTTAGAAACAAAAACATTAAGACAGTTGGAACGTATTTATGGTTCAACAACAAAATGCTCTTATTAAAAGCATGTTCAGGAGGATAAAGTACCTGAAAAGCCCATGCATTTGATTTGCCCTTCTAGTTTCCACTGCCTTTCTAACCCTTAGGATTCCAGATTCCATCCTCTCAAGTATTACTTCTCGAGGGTATGTTAATGCAAGTTCTCCCAGTGGGCCCTTCACTTTTAAATCCTTCCCTTCTAATGTGATTGTCACATTTGATGGCACTTCAATCGGTTGCTTCCCAATTCGAGACTCCTTGCATTCTATAGTCTTCCTCAGGAAATTAACATGAGCAGCAGGAATATGGGCAACACTGATCTTGGTTCTCTCGCCCAGGAAAACAGACTTCAAATAGCTGAAATATGATAGCAAGCAACATCTCTCTATGAACACAGTTTATCAAAACATATGAGCACATCAAATAGTAATGAAGAAAACCAATGGCTAGAAGTGCCCATAAAAATACGATTGGATAAATTATCTTCTTCAATGTGGCGGTGACAAATTTTAGGTTGCATGGCCTCATTGTAGAAATGAGAAAATTCAAGGGCCAGCAATAAGATGTCTCTACTACTGGCAGTGACAAAGGCAACTAAGCACTTGACATTTTGACTTAAATCCTTCACATTATTGCAAAAATTCTGACCCGTCGGGGAACCCAACTATAAAAATAAAAGATGGCGAGCAATACTATTTAGATTCCAAGAAAATTGCAAAAACAACATTGTTCCAATACACCCCAATCCAACGGATGTGGCGGAAGAAAGCTTCGGATCAACACCCGGGAATCGAGAAAAGGTAAACAGAAGAAGCCAATTCCAAAGTTTCTAGTCATGAATTGAAAGGAAGAGAAACGGTGCAGCCAAAGTAGGAACCCTGACCTGGTTTGGAAAGAAGAGGTGAGGGAGGCAGCCATGGTTACAAGCTCGTGAGCACCCAACTGCGAGGTCCAGGAGAGGAGACCTATCCAATGCGCAGAGTGTTATCCACTGGAGAGATAATAAATGCCCTTTGGGACAAAAGAAATTTCAATGAGTGCGGTCAACTCATCAGAACATGGGTCTACTGAACTGTCGTAAGGATTTTGAGCCCAAATAACCTATCTTGACTTAGTACTCTAAACAAGAGGCCCAGACCAATTCCCAGTGTTTGGGCTTTCTTTGTTTCCTGTTTCTTTTTTCATTTCTTTCACTGACATCTCATTTTTTTTTTGTCTTCATCTGTTTGGGCTGTTTTTTAACTTTTACAAAAAAATACAATTGAATTTTGAATTTTCTACTCAGTTTCATGTGACCGAGAGAAGAAAAACACGGTCTGTCGCTCTCTCCTTGCGTGCCATTGCCCCGTTGACCAAAAAAAGAAAAAGCGGGTCTTAAGTCTTGTACGGTCAAAACATTGCTGCTCTTCCCCAAAAAAGGAAAACGCTAGAAAGGAGCATTGGATAACTTACAGCTCAATGCGACAAAGGAAAGTCACCATCGTAACATCAAAGTGGGAAGAAATATAATCATATTAATTCATAATGAATAACAAGGGCACGAAGGTGCTGAAGGATCTTTGGACAGTTTTTTATGTGACTTTAGGTACTTTCTTTATACACACACACACTACGTAGATATATATAAATGTGGGAGAAATAATTTGCTGGTATTGAGTATTGACCAACAATTGACTTTTATCAGCATTCCAAAATGTGGGAGAAACCCATTTGGATCCCCACGAGGCCAGAGTGCTCCATTCTTTACAGTTTAAAATTTAAATACGCAACTTGACTGCTTTCATTAATGTATCAACTAACTAGATCAATATATGAGCCACGCCATTCACTTGTTCCCCAACGACATATAGTTCGTTTTCAAAGAACAGTGAAATCGTTTTTGGATAAAGGCTACTTCTAACTATTTTATCCGAGTTAATGAGATATGGTTATGATATTAAATTAGTCTTAAAGTAAAATAACTTTGCAATTAGTTTATCTCTATTTACATGCATAAAGTTAAAGAAAAAAAAAGAAAAATTTTATAGAATAGTAAACATTGATTATATTTTAAAAAAAGCTAATTAATGTCCAAAATTTTTTATACAAAATGACTGATATATGGAACCATTGATTTGTTGTAGAAGATGACCAGTGTATATGGGGCCAGAAAGAGTACATGATAATTATTTTGAAGAAGACAATACACCATAGAAATTTTAAATTTAATTTAATTATTGAGAGAATTACATTTAGATCTTCACAACGCAGTGCGCGGTATTTGTGTGTAATTCGACCTGAATTTTTTTTTCCAAAACGCAACTTTGGCGGTTGACCTGCCATGTTCTGTACGAAACACCGCTTTGTCTTCTGCTGACTGAATAGCTCAACGGACAAAATCACGTGCCGAGAAGCCTGACATTTTTTACTCGAACGAGCACTCTATAATTTCTAATTTAAAATTTAAAAAAATTAATCATTAGGTTCTTAAAATTTTAACTTAATTATAACTTAATTCTTAAAATTTAGTTATTATAATTAAATTTTTATAATTTTAATTTAATTGTAATTCGATGTTTAAATTTTACCTTTTATAATTTAATCTCTACAGTTTTAACCATTTAAATATCAGTCCCTATATTTTAAAAAATAAAATTATAAAAATTAAAATTAATTTAAATTTTTAATATTTATAATATTTATAAATATTAAAAGGGTTTATAAGTTTAAAATATTAGTAATAAATTTTAACATAATTTTAATCTGCTGTTAAAAAATATATAATTTTAATCTTCATAATTTAATTTTTTTAACATATAGGGGCAAATATTTAAATGATTTAAAATATAAGAATTGAATTACAAAAGTTAAAATTTACAAATTGAATTACAATCAAATCAAAATTTCAGAAATTAAATTATAATAAATTAAAATTTAATGATTAAGTTATAACTAAATCAAAACTAAAAAAATCAATTAATTAATTTTTTCTTAAATTTATTTGTGGCCACTTCATTTCTCACCTTTCATTTGGTTTTGTTTTTTTCCCATCTGCTTGACGCATCTTTATCTCTCACGTCTCTATTTTAAAAAATAAATATTTTCTGCGAAACAAAGCGCTAATGAAAAAGCATTGGAAAAAGATTATCTCTGAGGGATCATATAGTAAAAAGGGAGCTTAATCACAACACAACAGAAAAGAAACGAAAAGACTCCAAAATACGAAAGCAAAAAAGATGAGGGGGAAAAGATGCCAGGGCACTAATGGCTGAAGTGCCAACTGAAGTTTGGCCATTGGCTTAACAGAATTATATTCATCCAAAAAAAAAAAGAAGAAAGAAGAAACCAAATCTCAAAAGGTTCGACCACGATATTCGTTAACTGTTGTTTGTGATAATAATAATAGGAAACTTCAATTTACATCCACTCGTACTAATAGCCGCCATTTAATTTTATGCCATTCTAAATTTTGTCGAAAGTCGAGATAAATATGGGAAATGTATTTTTTTTAAGGTTTGATTGAGCATGCCTGAGTGTAAAAAAAGTTTTTAAGAGACTTACCTTGAATCTCAAGTCAAATTTGACATAGTCAGATAATTATAATAAAAAGGAGTAAAATTTAGATTTTTTATGGGAAAAATTAGGTATTTAATATTGCATACTTAATATACTCTTGTTTAACTAAAATTCATCAGTGTTATGCCATTCTAGGAATTCCTGTTTTAAATAAAGATGTTAAGAACTATGCTGAAAGTCACAGTCAACGTGAAAAATGTTATTTTAGAAAATATTATCACCCATGATATTAAATCGAGTGAGTTAAAGCTGTCCTTTGAAATTTGTGGATGTGTTTTGCGTGGCTGGAAAACAACACATGTAGTCACAAACCCTGACATAAACACATACGCATCAGACCAGAATTCGCGACCCGGGAAGGTTTATCTCCTTTACCCTTTTTTTTTTCCTTTTTTTATCATCTCTCCGCTGTAAACCTGAACCATTTAACTTAAATTAATATTTTTAAAACTATCAAATTTAAATTTTTAAATTTAATTTAATGGTTCAGATCTGCACCAGTCTTTCCTTTATTCTCCTTTGGAAAAGAGAAAATCGAACTCCTTTATAAGCAGGACGTGATCTCTAAAAACTTGGTTGGAGCGCGATGCTTGAGGAATATATCCATCAGCATTACTTGATTAAGTTTTTGTTATCCTCAAGTCCTGGACTCGTTATGGAGTCCCGTGTCCATCCTGTAAACGAGAATGGACTCGAGCTAATTTTTCAAGTAATATTTTAAAATAATTGATTTCATTTAAAAATAAACATGGCCGCAATATATAATTTTAGCCCCTCGTGTTGTTTTAAATTTCAAAAAGAGAGCAGGAATCAAAACGAGACATGAGATGCAAGACTTTAACAGCGCCTATACCGTTGAAAGCTATAAATCCTGAAAAAGGACAACTCCGATCCAGAAGCAGTATATTACTCCCTTCGTTTTAAATTATAAAATATTTTTAATAAAATTTTATATATTAATAAATTTTATTAAATACACCTAATAGTCTTGTTTTTTTAAAATAAAAATATAACTTTTCAAAATACCTATTATTTAATATAATAAAAATAGAAGTGATGGAAATTAATTATAAAAAAAATAATATTAAAATTTAAACGTTTAATGAAATCTTAATCTACTAAAAGTGTTGTATATTTTAAAATAAAAAAAGTTTAAAAAATATTTTATAATTTAAGAAAATAAGAATATTATTTTAGATAACTTGTAACAGAATCATATAAAGCTCGTGACACACGCAGTGGGAATGTGTGACGTTTTGCAACAACGTTTTTCAGTTTTAGCCGTACTTTGATTCGAGCATGTGTGTGTGTCTAAAGTATTGATATCCGGGGCGCCCCATCACTATATTACAATGCATAGTACTTCCTTTATTTTAAATTATAAAATATTTGTAAATAAAATTTTATATATTAATAAATTTTATTAAATACACTTAATAATTTTATTTTTTTAAAATAAAAATATAAATTTTAAAAAATGTCCATCATTTAATACATTAAAAAAAGAATGAAAATTAATTATATTTTGAGATAGAAATTTTTTTTAAAGTACCTTATAATTTGAGATGGATGAAATATATTATAATATCACTAAGTGAGGTATTAATTACATTTTCTTAAGATACAATTTTCTATGACTACTTTGGGATGTAATTTATAGTTTACAGGAAAATTAATCTTTTAATATTTCAACTCTTAACTCACTTTAACTCCATCACTCAATTATACCTACTGCAATTCAATCATTCAATTATAACTCGCTACGATTCAATCTACCAACTCTTAATTTACTTATAACTTCATCTTTATTTTTTAAATTTTTTTAAAAAACTTTTTTTATCAAATAAAAAGGATAAAAAAAATTGTCTATAGCTTACTATAAAACACCCTCATCTTGTTCTTTGTTCTTTGATATGGGATGTAATTAGCTAACATAGAGAGAGAGAGAGAGAGAGAGAGAGAGAGAGAGAGGTAATAAAAGTTAAGAGACTGAATCATAAATGAATCAAAAGTTGAGAAATTAAATCATAAATAAAAAGTTGAATGACTAAATCACAACGAATAATAATTGAAAGGCTAAATTATATATGAGTTAAAAGTTAAAAAATTAAAAATTAATTTTTTAAATTTATAATATAGGCAGATTTGGAGTTTTTAAAATTTTTAGCGGAGAGCTAATAATTTAATCTCTTCTTTTTTGATAAGATTATTTGAAATGCCTTACAACAAGAATGAGAGAGAGCATATTATGGAGAGAATATCAAAGGTTTTATAAGACACTTCATGTATTATAAGGACAAGTATGGAATAAAGTAAGGCCCTAGATTGTGCCACTTTGAAATGATGATAATAACGGTTTCAAAACTTAGAATTTATGATAATAAAGTTTACGATAAATAAAAAAAAACAAGTTTCAAATATTAATTTAAACAATTTGAAGTTGCAGGAAACACAAC